GATGACAATTGAAAAGTGAACAAAATTATTACAAGTCTGCACACCTATATTTAATAATAATATTCAATCAATAACTATGTAATTAAAAAAAATTATTTTAAGAGAGAATATTTTTTCAATATCCCTGTAAAGAATATCAAGTTTAAAAAAAAACAAAATCCCAGAGTGATAGCCTTTTTTAAACGAGGCTGAAAAATATCAAATTGTTAAATCAATATTACCAAAAATACAAAAGAAATTCCTATAAAAAATATCAAAGTATTTTAGCCCTAGAGTAAAAGTAAAAAAATATTCAAAAAGCATTTTTTTTTGAGAAATAAAAATAAAACAAAATGCTACTCTTATTTAATAAAAAAAAAATAATGACCAAAACTCAGGATATTATTCTAATTTAAACGAATCTTTCAGCACTTAAATAAATGAATTGTATATTGAATAGATTATTATTTTATTTATTATAAAACTTCGTGGAAATATTTTTGGTGATCAATTTCATCCCAACCCCTTTTGGTTTAGAATTTTAAATTCGTGATGGTTTTTTTTCTTTTCTTTTTTTCTCATTTAAAAGAAACATATCTGAAGATATTAATTTCAATAAAAAAATTAAAAAAAATTGCAGTATCTAAGTGTGAACATCTGAAAATAAAAATTCATCCTGAACTTTACCAAAGATCATTCAAAACTAAGAAAAAAAATAAAATAAAATTTTTGTTGCTTGCATAATTTAATAAAACATTTTCTTTCTGATTTGATAGGAAAAATACACAGAATGCTTTTTTAAATGAAGTGAAGACGTGTTTGAGTTTGAAGAATTGAAAAACGTTAAGTTTAAAAATGCCATTTTTTAATTTTAACAATTTTTAGAATTCTTTTTTACGACTGTTAGATTATTTTTGTTAAAAAAGAATATAATTTTGTGACTGCAATCAATTGTTAAGAAGTCTTCATCAATTTCACCTTTTTTAAAACTGCTAAATTTTAAAGTCAATTCAACGCGGTAAAACACGGTGCAGTAAGAAAATAATAAAAGCATAAGCAATGAATTAAAACTCATAAAAAAAAAGTATCATTTAATTATTTTTCAATTAGTTTCTTTTTTACACTTCTAATATAGTATTTTAAAAAAATAATCACTGTAAAATTTTAAAGTTTTAAAACATAACCTTAATGACAGTGGATATCGTGCATTAAACATTTTTAGTTTTAAAGCAAAAGGTAAAGCTTACTTTTGGTTTGCAAAATCCAGTTAATTATTCCTTAAATTTAATTTACTTTGAAACAAATCACTAGAGAAAATAATTGATTTTTAAGATTTTTTATTTTCATTATAAATTTGTTATTTGCTTTTTCCATCTACAATGGAAATGACTATGTTGAAAAAACTTTCACATCAACTGACTCTCTGTGTTTACAATGGGTTAAAGCACAAGTATTTGAAAAACTTAAACATTTTTTTTTAAAATAAACGTAGAGAAAATCTGCTCTGGACTTCGTAAAAAAGGTAAAAACAAAAAAACAAAAAAAAACATTTTAAAGCAATTTATTTGTTCTTAAATATGACAATTTATTTGAAAGATAAATTTTTTTCCAATGAAAATTGAAAAAAAATAAAATTATTTTTTTTCTTTAATTTTAAAAGATTTTAAACATTTTTAAACAAACTTTTTAAAATTATTAAAAAAATTTGTTCCCTTCTGCCCAGTTCGATGACCTAATTAATTTGATGAACAGCAACAAAAGAGAAATTAAATCACTTTAAAAAAATATCTTTAAAATTCAATATCTGTTCCAGACATTTATTTCAAAGAAAAATAGTAACGATTTTGCAAAAGTTTTTTTTACTTTTTGCAAAAAAATATATTTTCTCAGCTGGGTATGTTCACCCCCGACAGGATTGTCCCTGGTAACACTAAAAAGTGGTATACCCTAGAGAAAAAAGGTCCCCAAATGGATAAAAAAAAAAATTTTAACGTGTAAATGTTTATGTTAAAATTAAAGAGGGAAGACCAAAGTATTTTTTGAATATTTTTTCAGATTTTTTAATCCTTCCTATAAATTTTAAAATTTTTTAAAAAAATTCGTTTTTCTTGAATAAAAAAAAATTAGGAAATTCGATTTATCGGACATTTCTGCCCGAGTTTGTAAACAAAAAAATCAATCAAAAATAAATTAAAATTCAGTTACACCTTTTTTTTTTTTTTGTTAAAAAAGGAAATTTAGAATGATTAAAGTATATACTTAAATGTAATTTGGAAAGAAACAAACATTTTTTTTTTTTTTAATAGAGATATTTCCAACCGGAGTGCTTGCCTAGGTGCGTGATTGAGAGGTGTTTGAAGGATGTCAATCAATATTGAAAACTTTACGTCAAGGGAATTTATCGCACGGTAGCGCAGAAGTGATGTAATTCGTTCTAATTTTAAGTGAACCTGGTTAGTAAATTTAAAAATTCACTTTCAAATCTTTTTTAACCTTACGTTTGAGGAAAATTTTCTGAAAAATAACTTGCTTCTATCAAGAGAAACAAGTCTACCTCATGTGACATTATTTTTGCATCCAAAAACGATTTTAAATACAATTTGGAAAAAATATTAATGGTTGTCAGATTTTAATAAGCTTTCAAATTTATGATCTTCAAAAAAGTAGGGAACAAAATATGTCATTTCCATAAGGTTGCATAAAGAAACTTAATTTTAAAAATATTTTAAAATTTTGTGACTTTTTGTCATTTTTGTATTTAAAAAAAAAAAAAAAAAAAAAAAAAAAAAAAAAAAATTCATTTTTCTTCAATTTTTTTTTTTTTTTCAGATAAAATTACTTTAGTATATGTTATTCAGAAAAGTCATAAAAGCTTTTTTAATTAAATATTGTCTTAGTTTTATTGGGTTTTGTATGTTTACAACTGAGGTAAAAGTTTGGACAATTTACAACAAAAAAAAAAAAAAAAAAAAAAAAAAAAAAAAAAAATCGATGATTTAGAGAGTCTTCTGCATTTAATAAAAAAAAAAATTCGGTTGCAAAAATAAATTTTGGAAGTTTTCATAAAATTAAGTTCGGGTATAAACATATATAATATAAAAAAAAAAAAATATTTATACCATGGCTTTCAAAAGACAAACGTTTCTAAAATAATTTAATTAATTCCTTTGTGAATAAGTTCTGAAAGTTTCATAAAAATCCAACAAGTACTTGATTTTTGCAAGATTTTCCAAATCAATGAGTATTTTTCCAACTGAAAATAGTGAAAAAAAAAAAAAAAAAAACTAATGCTAATATTACCTAATTTTTGACCTAAAAAAAACCCAAAAAACAACAAGATTTTCAACCTAAATTTAAAATATGCTGCAAATGAAAAAAAAATAATAAAATAATTAAAAAATACCTTGGTCTTCCCTCTTTAATTTTAACAATCATTTACATGTTAAAATTTTTTTTTATCAATTTGGGGACCTTTTTCTCCAGGGTATACCACTTTTTTAGCGTTACCTGGGACGTCCCTTTCAATTGTAATTGTATCTTACAATTCTGCTCCTACTTTAAAAAATTAACACCATAAATCTTAAAAACAAAAACTATTCGATTTGAAAAGTTCGTGGAAATATTTTTCAGATCAGTTACAACCCCTTTTGTTTTAACCAAGTGATTTCTCGATTCTATTCTATTTTGTACCTCAACAAAATCGACACAAATCGGTCCTCATGGCAATTGGCAATTAATGCGGGACAAGAGAGTTGACTTGAGGCAACAGATAAAAAATTAACGGCCTTTTTCAGGGCCACCAAAAATTATTAAAAGTTTCGTTTGACTACTCATGGTGATTTTATTTTTTTTAATAAGGTTTTTAATTTTAATGCCATAATTAAACTAAAAATGGTTATCAAGCTTGTTTAAAGATCAGTTACAACTGAGTAGTGAATTCGATCCTCACTAGATGTTGTATACTTGATGCCTTGTGCCACATCTAAGCTACGCTTACGTTCAAGTGTTTCTTTCAATAAATCAATTGCAAAATGAATTTAAATTTTTTTAAAAAAGTAGCTTATTAAATAGTAGATACTTTGCAAAATTCATCAATGTAACATCGGTTATGTGTAGCTAATTTATATTCATTCCTATTAGTTATTGTAAATCAAAAAGTTCGCAATTTATTTTGTTAGCGAATCCCGAGGAAAGGGAGCGCACCATTTTCACATTTGCATTACGAATAAAAACAGTGTTTGGTTGTTTTGAAAGACCTTAGAAAATAGAATTTTAGTTATAGGGAAAGTAAAAAGATTTGAAGAAAAAAAATGACTAGTAATAATCGAGATGAACCTTGAATACAGCAATAGCATTAAATCATCAATTCAGAATTTAACCAGTAGTTGCAGCAGCACCTCGTCACATACAAAAAAGTGAGAGAAAGAAACAAATCGATTTAAAAAAAAGTTATTCTGTTAGTAGTGGAACTTGTACACGAAAAGAAAACTGTCAATAAAGGTTAACAGTCAATGAATTTGTGATGGTGACAGCAAAAAAAGAATTAATTTATTTTAACAAAGCACATGTATCTATTTGTTAGGAGACATTTCTTTGAGAAGTGCTTGTAAATGAATGAACACCTTATCCTTCAACCTAATAAAAAATCTGATCGACAAATAATTTTGTTTGAAGTACTTTTAAATTTTGGAAAAAGTTTTAAATTATCATTTTTATAGTAAATTATTTCACAACTGAATAATTTAACCTCCTACTACAAAAATGTATGCATAGTTCTTTATTAGGCTCGACCTTGTGCTTACATCACGTTAACCTGTTTTTTTTTGTTTTTTTTTGTTTTTTTTAAATACACAGGTAAACTCGGACAGAACACAGCAACATCTAAACTTTAAACAGGACTGATTACATAAAATAACACACTCACAGTATCGTGAACGTTGTAAGCCGGCGCCACTTACACAGATTGTGTAGCATTATTAATTTAATTTGCAATCTAAAAGATGTATAAAAAAAAATCTTACTCGGCAGTATAGTCCTTTGGGTCCTAATGCTCTCAATAAAGATGACATAATTAAATTTTAAATGTCAACACAGTCACGAAAATTCAAACACACTATCTCAGTACAAGTCAAATCGTTTTCTGCTGAAAGGATGTGATTTAGTCACGTGAGTTCAACTTCCGCTTCAAGTTGAAAAATGAAAAACAAGTAAATCATAAATGCCTATCGCAGGTGGTTTAATTTTCATTATGACAGATTTAAAATGGTCCGAAGTTTAGATTTGTAATAGATTGCGGTAAATTAGCTTTTTAAGCCCCGCGCTAAAGATCTCTTAAATTTTTCCCAAATCGTCATATTTCCGTGTAAATGTACATGCTGAACTTGAAATAACAATTAAATTTTGATAAAACCCACCGTTTTGGAGTTATCGACAACAAAAGTTCGAACTCAATCGCGTTCAGCCGTTGGCCATTACTGGCCTTGTTTAACTACATTCAGTGCGGAACATTTGCGCGCGGAAACCTAACGGCCTTTTTACTGCTCTTAACTGAATTTACTTGTCTAAAATTACTGCGCATTTAAGTTATGTCGTAAAGCGATGACAAGTGTTGATTTTTTTTTTTTTTTATAGTAAACCCCTTTTTCTGTGTAGAAAAGCAATGGCAACTGTTGTAAAGCTTTTATTTTAAATTAAAAAAACAATTAAGGAGCAAACTTTGTAAAGGAGCATGGATATTTACAAAGTAAATGCTAGAAAGGAAATAATAATAAATAGCCAAAATTTGCGCATTAATCATTTCGTTTCTAACATTTTTTTATTTTGTAAATCATGCTCTTTTTACAAAATAAATACATGACTGTTGCCGGATTTTTAGCTAATTGGATGTATCAGAAGGTGTAATTGTGTTGTGGGTGGCTAATGGTGTTGGTTAGAAAAGAATCAGAAGGGTTTTTGATCAAGGTTGCGTTTTTACATTAACACTCCACTTTAAATTTGTAAAGAAAACACAAGAATGAATGACGAGAGATCAATGAAAATCAACAAGTAAACATATAATTCTGTTAATAACAATAATAAGGATTAAATCACACGAAGTGGTTTCCCTTGTATTGTCTGAAGAACACATGTATGTTGTAATAATGTCCTCTGTTTAAGTTTGTTGGTAGTTTAAGAATGTTTGATGTTTGAGTTTGAAAGTTGAAATATTTGTGCAGAAGAATGATATTGTTCGAATAATTGACTTGGCTTGTAAACAGACAGTACACTGTGTTGTGTGAGTGCAGTTTATATCTGTGTGTGTTTGTGAGTAGAAAATTGAATATACACGTAAGTGGTTTACGCTGTGAAAATTTATAATCTACTGAAGTTATTTCTTTAATTTCTACTTTTTATAGATGTAAGGTGGCTCCCAGAACGAGCGCGGGAAGGATATTGAAGAAAGTGTCATTTAATGCGATTAACAAAAAATCGACCAATCGTTGATTTTTTTTTTCTATAGCTAGTTTGGTGAAGCAAAAACACGAGAAATTTTTCTGTGGCTTGTGCGATGCGTAAATTGTCTGTACAAAAAGTATTGTTTATTTTCCATCCAATTATTGTTGAGTAATTTGTGGGTGTGGTATACGTAGGCGTCCACTACAGTGTGAAGGCTTAAAAATGTGCGTGTTTGTTAAATATTCATCCACAACAAATAAAATAAACATTTGAAGGCAATTCAATTAGAAGAAATCAACGTAGTTATAGATTTCAACAAATAACATGCATTTACGTTTGATATACACAGGTGAATTTTAAGAATAAGATTGCTTGTTCAATGTGATAAGTGTAGGATACAAATCCTATATCATTCCAACAAATAACTGAAAAACACAATGTAGATTTGCACACCCGCAAAATCGGATCAAAACGACTAAAAACAGATTTCGCAATAAGGTGTGAAATTAATTTTCTGACCAATGAAAGGAGGCTATTTGCTAAACTAAAAAAAAAGATAACGATCCAATGTGAAAAAAAGTCAACTATAAATAGAGAGTTTCAAGTCAATCACGAGTGAGAAGAGCGCAGAGATCATAGAGGACAGTCAGGTTCGTCACTGACTCAACCTAACACTAAGAGCAGAAAGTGGGGTAGGAAAGGAAAACAACAACAAATTTACAACTGACTCCAAAACAATTCAACCCGATAAGTATATTTTCCTCTTATCTTTTATTTCTCATTCACACTCTCTTTTTCAAATTAAATTGATCGCCTCTTTTTCCTTTATACCTACTCGACGGATATACAAAAGCAAAAGAAACAGACATTACTCTACTACTCTGTTGAAAGACAGCGAACACAGACATTTTGTTCAAATCACATTTGCTTAAACGAACTAAAGCATTAATCTTTTTTACTCTATTCACAAGATATAAAAATATACAAATTTGTTTATTCTCATGAATGACATTAAATATACAATGTCCTATTTTCTACAAACGTTCCTTATCGTGTTGCCTTTTCTTGAAATTTGCGTTGTATTTTGTGGGCAGGGTATACCGTATTAAATTCTCCTTTTAATCCGGGTACGCTGTACCCCACAAGTGAGATAAAATTGTAAGGAGTGACCATGCAGTGATTTGGTGTATGAAAGCTTGTAGCTAAGGTTTGTCTATGAAATTAAAACAGTTTGCTTTCTGCAAGGTGAAATGTCACTTGTGTGGGTTCAAATATTAGTATGCATGTGTGCGACAATTGTAAATATAGTTTAAAGTCATAAGGAGTTATGTACCTGTCGGAGTTAGCTCCTCCTTTAGTTCCTTAATCCTTCAACAGGGGTCTCTCTCCCCTGGCTATAAATACTGGCTGACCCTTCGCCTCGATCTCTTTTTTCCTCAGGCTTACCACCTCCCAGATGTGAGCTCTCACAGATACAGCGTTTTCCAAATTCTGGGAACACGCTAAGAACAATACACGTAGGTACGAACACTCACCACAACACACACACATAATATTCACCACACGCACTCAATATAACTGTCCATGTGCTTGTAACTTTTACTTGTTATTAATACATATATTTGTTTACATATATTTATCGGTCTTGTTTGTTTTCTTTGGACTTAATTAAAGTCCAATATTCTCATGTGGTTGGATTGGCTAGCAGGAAATTTTAACTCACGTGTATTCTTCTACATACTCATCACCGCCACGGTCCGCTACATACCTTTGACTGATATGATGTAAGTTGACTAAATATAATTACTACTTCTGAGTTGTGTTGAGCTGCTGAGAGAGAGAGAGAGAGTGGCGGTTGTTGAGTCAGTATGTCGGCGCGCATGGTGGTTGTTGGGTCAGTGGAGTTTGTTGGCATCTCTCGCAACTTAGTTACTGACTGGTATGCCTAGGTTGATTAAATGTACAATTACTATGTCATAGTGGTAATGTCACTTTTTTAGTCAATTGTAATTTAAGTATCTTCACGCAGCAGTAGCTGTGTGGTTTGTGTTGAGTTGCTGAGAGAGAGAGAGAGAGAGAGAGAGAGAGAGAGAGAGAGGTGGTTGTTGAGTCAGTATGTTGGCGCGCAATGGTGGTTGTTGAGTCAGTGTGTTGGCGCGCGTGGAGTTTGTTGGCATCTCTCGCAACTTAGTTACTGACAATATTTATTCCTGTAAAAATACAGCAGATGTGGCACAAGGCCGAAAAATGGGGGTGGGGATAAGGACGGTCATCATTTGTCTTAATTTTAAAACTTAGCTAGCCACAACCACTGACCCAATCATACAAAACAATATTCCTACCACCAAAATAACACATTCACACTTAACTTTCTTACTACATCCACCAAAATATCTCATTGTCTCAATGAAAATCCTAAATAGATCCCATATGTACAGATCGTTGTCTGTGAGGGGAGGGGAATAAAAACAACAAGTTAAAAATCCCCAATGATTATATACAATATGGTTATGAAATATTTACAAGAAACTAAACAAAATCGTGTTAGTAATAAACCCCCACAAACTTTAAACTTAAATGTGGCAGAAATATCAGTTAACTGGACGAAATCGATGCGAGACTATAAAAATATAGAAAACATTTATCCATCCCAAGCACTCACACAGACACGCACTCATTCTGACACAACAACAAATATGAAAAAAAAAACACACACACGCGAAACGAAAGGCGCCCCGCATCCACCAGAGAACTGACATCACTGACCACCTAACAAGGGAGGAGATGGGGAGTTAGATTAAAGGAAAAAGGGGACAGAAACAAAAAAGAGGTCAATGAGCAAACACACACTAGCTAAGTTTACTGTAAAAGAAAAGAAAAACTAAAGACTCAAAAACCTACTCTAGCCTAAATTCAGGGATGGGTTGCCCAAGTTCAACCCAGGAAAACAATATCCTGATGCCTAACCGGCATCAAAATACTACTCCAGGTTACTCGGCACAAGCGCGCAAGATTCACTCACATTTTGCCAAATTCTGATGAAGTGAGCCGCCTTTCCATCCTAATATTGACTTTAAGCTGGTGCTTAAAGAACAAGATCAATAGGGAAGAAGTGAACTTCTCGCCATCATAGAATTCCTTCTGACGCGTCGTCCAAATCACGACACTCATAACACCTATTAAGCAAAAGAACACATAGTGTTCAGCCTTCGTCATCTGCGGCACCACATTGCTACAAACAGAACTAGCCTCAAGAACTTTCCCTGTAGCATGCGGACCATGAGACCGTCAACAAACTTGCACAACGGCGCTACCACCCTGCAATGAAAGAAGGGGTGACCAATGGTCTCGACTTCCCCAATACAGCGTCGGCAGTTTACATCTTCAGCTTGGATGGGCGAAATTTTACAAACATCCATATCAGGATTGAAAATATGTTTTTTTTTTTTTTTTTTTTTTTTTTTATTCCGGTTCATTCACTAGTGGGGCTTCTAAGCCTTTTGTTTTGGTGAGGTTGGCATCTCTGGAGTTTTAATGGGAGAAAGACTGGGGGTGTGGCGGGGTGTATATGTTTGTCTAAAAGGGCTGGGATCTCTACTGAGAGGGATTGAGGGATGGGGAAGAAAGGCAGGTG